CCCCCCCCTTTCCTTTTTTTTTTGGCCTTCTCCCCTATCCTACCCCCTCCAACTCCCAAAGATCGTCTCATTATACACCGTAAGTTTCATCTCGGAAACCAGCGGACTGTGTCTTGTGGAGACTGCAGATCTACTGTGTTTCGCAGGGCTACTTTACACGGGTAGCAAGATAAAAGTAAAAGACTCTTAACATTCTTTTCCTGGTTTTGAATAAATATCTTTTCAGAGGGTTAGATTTTAGAGGCTTTTTTCTTTCCCTGCTGTCACTGACAATGGCTGAAGGCTTATTTAAATTTCAGAGATTTTTCTTCAACTTTTGTCACTGAAAATGGTTCAGTTCGCACTTCAGAGGTAAATGCTATAAATCCTCATGACAATAGCACACAGTGCATTTTAGAGCTGAGTAATTTTAACTGTGGGCTGGAAAAGTTTTAACAACAATACCTTGAGTGTACACACATTACAGATAGCATCACGGTCGCCAGTTTAATTTAAAATAGCGTTTCTGATCTCTTCATTTCTGAGCGCCAATGCCTCTCGCTGTCTCTGATAGTGAACACCAACTTGAGTGAAATGTACAACTTGATTTGACGATTGGACCCCCACACACTCTGTCCTACAGTTGAAAAATGCGACATTTTATAGATTTTACACCCCTTGCAACAATGAAGGGTTATTGAAGAGGCGGGACCTCGGAATTTAACGTCGTCTCCGATAGAACCGAAACAAATGGGAGAAATTCGTGAGTAAAATACAATTCCGAAGAACACAAAGGTGGGTATCGTGGCATACAGTTTAAGGTGTTTGCTTCACATTCAAAGGTCCTGGGTTCGAATCCGGGTAACGACGCAAAAAAAATTTCTCTAAAATTATTGTCTCCTTTCCTCTCCTTTCCTGCTCTCTTGCAATGTTCTTTCGTCTGCTTTCGTGTCCACTTTCTGCCTCCACCCCCTCACCTCTTTTGCCGCCTCCTCTGGGCTTCATACTCTTTCTGCAGCCTTTCTACTGCTACTCCTCGGCTCCTTCTTACTGCTGTCTTTCAGCCCCACCCCTGATCTTCTGGTAGGAAAGATCTACACCTAGCTTTCTCGAACTCGGGCGGAAAATCTCGGAGGTCTTGTGTGCAAGTTGCGCACGTTGAAGATCCCTTGGTGGTCTAAAATCGATAAGAGTAGGCTTCAAAATGTTCTACCAACTGAAAATGTTTAGTGTGTCCCGCGCGCTCATATAACCTTATGCAGTTGCGAGCGCCGTAAAACACTTCCCATAAAAAAGAACGCAACGTCGGACCGAGCTGAACCTCCAGCCCTTGAACCCGCAATCTCACGAACACGGGCCCGGTAGCCTAACCACTAGACCGCTGACACCACTACAGTCATACTGTCGCTACAGATTTGAGGGAATTTGGTCACATACACAAACACATACACATGCAACGCATACACACGAAGTTGCACGTGCACACAAATCCACACATTTTCCTGGGGAAAAGTAACTGTCAATAGATTTCAGATCTAATTTTGAAAAGGATATTATTGGGCTACATATATAATCCTGGTAAATTATTTTAGCTTGTTCAAAGACAAAACGATATCTAAGACTAGACTTTAGTTTTTTTTAACAAAACGTCAATTTATTACACAAACAACTCACGACAAGAAGACCACCCACAAAAAAGGCTTTAAAGAAACAACAATTTGAGGTATATGCGTGTATTGCTTTAGAGCATGATTCTTTCTCCAAGGAGGTGATAGACAACCATTTGTGAACAGACGTCCAAATGAACGATATTCGGATGAGTGTACCGTCGAGAGGAACATAATGAGGGGAGGCTCTGTCATGGTGTGGGGAGGGGTATCGTACACAGAAAGGACAAACTTGGTAGTGGGCAATGATAATCTCAAAGCTGTTCGTTACAGGGACCAGATTGTTGATCATCACATTTTACCATTTCTGAATGCCAATTGACCTGGCTATGTGTCTCAACAAGATAATGCCCGCCCTCATGTCGCAACTGTGATAAGAGCTCATCTTGAACAAAAATATGTGAATGCATTGCCGTGGCCTGCTGTCTCTCATGGTCTTGCTCCAAATGAGCATGTGTGGGATGAACTGGATCGAAGACTCCGTAAAAGGCCAATACAACCAAGAAATCTTCATGAATTGGCGCAAGCTTTGCAGGAGGAGTGGACCAACATGCCTCAAATCAAGATTCAACGAATAATTAGCTCAGTGAGACGAAGATGCCAGGCGGTTATTGCTGCACAACGCGGGCATACTCGTTATTGAAATCACGCTCGAAAGCAATACATGCAATTTTCCTCAAATCGTGTTTTGCGTTTTCTGGGAGGTGATCTTTTTGTCATAAATTGTTTGTGTATAAATTGACCTTCGTTCAAAAACTAGTCTTATTATCGTTTCGTCCTGGAATAAGCTAAAATAATTTACCGGGATTATTAATGTATCGCTATTATAACCTTTTCAACATTAGGCCTGAAATCCATGGACTGTTACTTTTTTCCTAGGGTATATACACCCACACACATGACATGCACCACACACACAAACACACACACACACACACACACACACACACACACACATACACACACACATACACGTATATACACACATACTCACACAATAGACATACACGCGCATACACTCAAACTCACAATACACTCTTTCTGTCTCTATCTCTTCTTCTCTGTTTCTCCTTACCACCCCCTCTGTCTCTCTCTCTTCTTCTTCTTCTTCCTTTTTCTTCTTCCTTTTTCTTCTTCCTTTTTCTTCTTTTTTCTTCTTTTTTCTTCTTTTTCTTCTTATTCTTCTCATTCCTTTTTTATCTCTCAGGCATATGGAGGGATTTTTCAGGAGGATCAAAAACTAATAGTCTCTCAACTCAGAACCTTTGTATCGTAGCCTTTTGATTTCAAGATGAAATTACGACTTACTTTTAGTTACCAAGCTCCGTGATTTACACGTTCAAAATTGGGACTCCACTTACATTTCAAAAAGCGCAAAAAGGTTACGAAGTTCGGAAACTTCCGGAGACTGACGTGTCAAGAGAATTGCAGCAGCAGTACTGGTGGTATATATAGTCCATAGACAAGTACATGTACTTGTAGACCGTGCACTGTCATTGCCGCGCTCTTTGCTTTCTGTAAAAACTTTGCTGGGAAGTGTGCGCCTCCTGGGCCGCGCCATTACTCTCAAAACACAAGTCTCGCTATAGTCGAATGAGTGCGGCACTCCCCCCCC